GAAGCAGCCTGAAATCGCGCTCCACGGAGCAACCTACTCAAGTGTGTGCGTGCGTGTCGATCTCCCCGATAAAACAGTCGGGTTGGTGGGGTCCTTTCAACATGGGTCCAGTCCAGAATCGTCTCCGTAGGGTATTCCCTGATTGCAACTGCAACGTTCTTGGATGCGTAGCACGGAATTATCTAGAATCTAGACTATATGATCCACCATCATGCAGGTCTCAGCAATCTCTTGGGTGCTCGTGCCTTGGTTGGGCACGTCTGAGTTCAGCTTCATCCGACAGGAAATCTCGTCCGGATTCCGCCGCATGTCGTGGCACACCTGCGCAGTGGCGCCTACTTGCGATGGCCTCCTGCCTAATAGCGATGGCCTCCAACCTAATAGCAATGGCCTCCACTGAACAAAGGAAATCATGGTTCCTCGGTTCCTCCTCAGTAGATCCCAGCTGTAGGTGTTCTCCAACGCCATCTTCTCATAAACACAACTGACATGCTTGCGTGGTTGCAGCATTGCATGATCAAAAACCACCACCGAGCCACAACCCACCAAACAACAACAACAACAACAACAACAACAACAGCTGCTACTACTACTACTACTACTAAACGACAACCCACTAAACAACCCACTAAACAACCCACCAAACAACCCGCCAAACGCCACCAACGAGACAAAACATTGGACCACCGAGGTGCCTGGAACTTCGGCCCGAGCCACAGGCCCGTGCTGTCCACCAGAGGATACCTGGAGTGTTGTAAAGGAATGCGACCTGCATGCAGTGGGGCCAATAAGGGTTGGGGGTGACGAATGAACAGGGCCACACGTAGTGCTTTTTTGCGGTGCCGGCCCAGTTCATGGACCCAAGGTCCCAGTTGGTGCTTTGGTGATGTGGCACAACTCACCACAATCATCCTCCAAGAAATCTTCACCAAGGGCATACTGGTTACTACCTTAGCCTTACTGAATAAGGTAAATTTTTCATGCGGCTCTTTGATCAATCCAAAGGTCTGTTGTGGTTCCAAGGCACTTTCACCATCTTTCAAGGGACAACAAATAGATAGAGCTCCTCTCAGAATCCGACCCGAAACTTCTCGACCCAACTCCGCAAAACCGCTCAGTTTCGGCCAAAGGTGCAGCTTCTTGGGGTCCACCTCTTCAGGACATCGCTTGGAGCAGGCGCTGAGGGACAACCTATCCAGGTCAGCAACGTGTTTGCGTTCCAGCAGAGGGGATGGATTGGATGGATGACTTTGGAACTTGCCGCGACCAAAAGTTACTATTCTTGGGGATGTTTTTTTGGTCAAGAAGGGAAATCACAAATCGCACGTTTGAATGATTCCATTTGCTGGAAGACTGCAGCTGGGGTCTTTCGCATTCCCACAAATGTTGATGGAGAATCTGAGTCTGAGAATGTCAAAATTATTGCAATTGAGGTCATGTCTTTAATCAGAAGATGTGTTCCTCTCTCCACCACAGAGAAGCTGGTGATAATCTGCTTTAAGCAAGCTTTTGGCATCCAACTGCTTCTGTACGAAATACCCAAACCAGTATAAAGTCAATCAGTCAATCAGGTCGCCGGAGTGCTTACTGAACTACTGGTGAGTCACTTGTAACAGCAATGAACAGGAAATGGACCCAGCACACATTATCATTTCACAGAAACGGCACAAGAACGTAGTCTTGGAATTCAGCACTCTGCGGATATCCCCAACAAGGTGCTGCAGTGGCTTCAGAGGGGACAACATACAAAATACAAAACCCCTCAAAATGGTCCAGCTGGATCACTATGCAATCAATGTACGGCGCTTTCTCATATTTTCTATAAACAAGTTGAACCGAAACCACCCAGTCAAAGCCCAGACACTCTGCATCCACTTGCTCTGCCGCTCGTTGTCCACCACCTGTGGCTTCCACTTTGCCCTCACAGTGGGTGGTCCAGGCGTCGTCGCCGGCGGATTGGCTCCGGAGCTCAAAGCGTTTGTTGCCTCAGGGCGCAATGAGTACATCCAAGTGGATGATCGGATGACTACAAATTGATTGGTGTGGAAGCCTCAAAATGGGGTTTGAGCTGGAATTGCAAAAAGGTTGCCTTCCACATCCTCCCAGCCTTGATTTCAGGAGTTGCCTGCACTGAACACTGAACTATATAATATAAAGAGAGGATGTCAGCATGATTCAGCGATCTGTGATCTAGTACCTTTTTTTTGTAATTATGAGCAACTCTTTGTCAGCTGTTTGGGCAACGGGGCAAATGGCTTTTGGACCATTTCTCGACCGGAGGGCATTCGTGGCGTGAGCTTGTCACTTCGAACATCTTCGAACTAATGAGCATACCAACACCTGCAACTATGCCGTTTGGGTGTCTGGTGCAAAAAACTTATTTCCACATGAGTCACATATGAGTGCTCACTGACTTCACATAAAATGGTCCACTTCTCCGGGGCACCAATAATGGCCAACCTCATTGTCATCTGCTTGGCATCGCTATCACCGTCCTGGGGGTGTCTAAACTTGCGAGAAAAGAGAAGGCGCCGTGCAGGCATGCTTCAACACGGACGCACGCCCATTTGTGCGTGCATGGCAGCAAGATCTGTGCGTCGATCCGTCGATGCGGGTCCTTGGGCACGACAAAAGGCCAGACCATCTGCACGTCTCGCAGTTGGGCCTCAGGGCCCAGATGGGCACGAGAAGCCTCCATGGCCATCTCCACGAAGACCACACCTGGCGGTGTTCCTAGGGTTGTTGGACGAAGTATCGACAGGTAACTATAGTGAAAGCCTGACTTGAACTCATCCCTTTCAAAAGGAGCATGGACGATGGCCTCTATCCTGCTTGCGCAAGATCCTAGTTGCCTGGGCAAATGTTTCCAGATCCCCACTATTTTATTTCCAACAGTGTGAAGAAAAACTGAGGGTAATCGTCCATTTGAAGAGCGAGGTTCTCAAACCCGGGCCATGTTCAGGGTCCCAATGCGTTGTGAATTCTGCATCTCCACGGCACCTGGTACCACGATTTCATTGTAGACCACGTGCTCAGCAGCCACTCCAAAGACATCCGCGCGCACCGGCACATCGAAGTAGACCTTAAGGTGGAAGGCCATGTGGCAGCAGAACTGCTGGGCACTCCTCTTACTGAACCACCCACATCCGCATGTGATCGCAGGTCATGATACTGAAATTAGGTGTCGCTATACTCGTTTCTATCGTTCTAGGGCATGCTCCCAATTCTGTTTATCCAGGCCTAAGGTCCAGACAAGGCATTGTGGAACACTTGATCGATGCTTAACAGCTTCCCTTCAACTGAGGGGTCCGCGGTTGTACCGCACCTGTGTTTACTTCTGAGCTATCAAATGTTGGATGGCTTGTGCAAGTGTGCACATATTTCCGTTGCTTCGCTTACCAAACAATTTGCTCTAAATTGATAGAGCAGAACTGCCGGAAAACTGAAAACCTTGGATTCAGAACGGTCCAAACAATGAAAAGTCAACTGTCCGGTCAACCCTTCATCTCCGAGGTGCTTCACCCTTGCCCTCACTGCGCTTGCGCAGCAGCCGAGGCCCGGCATCACGCCAGGGGTAGGCCATGCGCTTGAAGGTCAAAGGAGGCAAGCCACCCTAGGCAGCATCAACGCTGAAAAGCTTCAGGTGTGGAGTCTTCACATGCCACCTGCGATATTTTGGGAAATGACTACTGAGATGATCGTACAACAACATGTTGGTGCTCTTATGGCTTTGTGGTTACTATGGTTCGGGGCGATCCTGAGTTTGAGTCTGCAGGGGAGATGAAACCAAGATGGATAGCTTACCACGCGGCTGGGATGGTTGTTTGCGAAAGTGATGACCGTTAGGAAGCAGGAATGGCAGTTTTTGAGCAGGTAACTACTATGCATTGGGGATCTGTTGAATCTAGGACATGAATCACAGCCTTGCAGAGGTCCACAATGCAGTCAGACCACCACGGATCATCAATCAGAATCATTGCAACTCATGTTCAAAACTTCACGCTTTTTCTGAAGAGCCTGGCTTAGTGGGACATCTCATTACCGAAGACCTCAACAGACCTACTGTTTCCTTGTCATTTTGCGGCATGCAGCGCTGGCGCTCGCGTGCACCCACGGTCCGCGCCTGGAGGGTCACAAGTGCCTTGTTGACACTCAAGGCCTCATCCTCTCCAGGCTCAATGGAGTGCAGCCATGGCCAATCCTTTTGGGCTGCTGGGCCTGTAACACATCGCTTGCCTCAGAGCAACATCAGTCGATATCCCTTGCATGTCATTTAGTGTAAGCATGTGTAGGGGGATATTGGGCACTTCTTCATCTCTTTCGCTAGGTGTGAGGGCTTCAACCTCAAGCGTTTTCAGCCACTTCGGTCGAAGATCTGAGTGGTCGTGTGCTTCGAAAAACGTTTCGATGGGTCAAACATCACCAAGGACCTAGGTGCCCATCTTCACCAATGTCGGCTCAGGCCCCACTTCCAGGTACGCTTCCACGTCCATGGATTCCAAGCCTCGAAGAGGTTTTTGATTGGTCGAGAATGATCGAGAAAGCATTCTTCGAGAATCATCGGACTGTTGACTCGGACTCTTCTTGTTCCTAGGAGTAAGAATGCTACTAGTAGTAATACCAGGAGCCCCTAGTAGCGTCCTTGCTCCTAGTGAGAGGATTAAGATCTAGTGGAGACGAGATGAGTTGTTTCACCAAGGCTTGTGCTAAGTGCCGGTATATATCCTTTGATCATTGTCATCAAACTGGATTAAGTTCAATTCCTCTTACTAAACACCTAAATGGTGGCTACTTCATGGCAAAAGGTGCCTGTAAACCAAAATGTTCATCAACTGCCAAATCCATCTGTGGGTTACAGGGGTCAAACTGAAAGAATTCTATACTGGACCCGCTGCCTGAACCGAACCCAGCAGACACCCAAACAAAACCGGGTATCATACACCCCATACTCCCTTGGCACAATGAAAGAAAGAGCTGGCAGCTAGCTAGATCGATTTTTTTTCTTTTGAAGCCAGCTAGCCAAATGATCGAAACGAAGCTGTTTACCCAACCCATTGGACCCAGTCCGGGCCTTTCACGGCTTCGTAGAAGCGCACTGCCTGTGAGACGTGTCGGACCCAGTAGTCCGGCTGCGTCAAGGCGTCCGTCTCCTCGTTGGCACTTGGGTGGTTTGGAAGGTAGAACTGGCGATGTGTGAGCGACAAGTAGGGAAAGGGGAACACATCTGCAGGGATTGTATGGGAATATGTCAATTCAGAAAGTGTTCCTGCTTCACACTCGCCCTTCGTTTTTTTCTTTCTGTCTTTCTGTTTTATTTATGTGTGTCCTTCCTTCAAGACACAATGTACTAAACTCACCAGTGCTGAATACGCAAAGCTTCTCAGCGGTCTTGGACCGGTCTTGGGGTGTTTGGTTTGCACCTGGCAGTCAGGTTCGAACCATCAGCGGAGTGGTCGACGTCAGGCTTTGGGATTGTGTCAACCGGATGTTCGATGAAATGCAAGCCCTTTCTTTGGAGTTCCGAAAACATCACCTTGTGAGACGACAAGTCCCCCGAGTCTAACAAGCAAATTAATACCTAATACAATATGATTCTAATAGCTTCTTTGTTACTACTAGTAAGGCACCTGTTACTACTAGCGTGGCACTTGTTTCTACTTGCTTCTTGTTTAAATTGTCAAAGATATGGTTTCCCTGCGTCCAATCTCTTTCCATCTGCCCAGCCGTCTCCTCCTTTCCAGTGACCGTCGAGATGAAACGCACACCGCCCGCCGGCTTGGAAAAGGTCACTGATGACGCCTGCCGAGCATCCAGGTGTGCTTGCCCAGATGAAGACCAATGAAAATGCACAGATCAGGAGTGCCAAAGGGGTTAATGGAGACCCATAACCTTTCTATTAGAGGATAGTCAAGGTTGTTTCACACATGCAAATTCACACTCAATAATCTAAAACATGCCATGTTCCTATTTAATGGTAGGTTGTACACAGTAAAATAATGTAACGAGGTATCCTAGAACGATGTGCTTCCCAGCCGAAGGAAAAATTTCTCTTTAATCGACAAACTCTGGGCATGGAAGAAGAAGTCTGACACATCTATCGCAAAAATATACAGCCACTTGGTCATCGCTCAAAGAAAGGTGTTGGTGTTTTCTTATGTTTTCCTCCTCGGGTCTAATTTTTAGGATACATCATACATCATATTCAGCTGTCTCCTCATCTGTCCGACTGGCCTCTTGCCGGAAGGCATCCAGCATGGGCTGCATCATCGGGGAGTGGAAGCCATGGGAGACGTTCAGCGCCTGTGAGTTATTCTTGAATGATCACGTCACAAGACAGAGATATAAGTTCGATTTCGGTTCCCCTTAACACCCAAGATCACCCAAGAAACTTAAACGTTTCAGTGGATCCACCCCAAACGAACTACACCACCTCCACCCAAAGAAGAAGACCGACAGGCCTAGAGATGAATTCAGAGTCCAACCTCTATAGATGCTGGCGGCCTGAAGGTCTTTCGTTTTGAACCCCGGCCCCATGAGGTTGGAAAGTTAGAAGGGTGAATTCTTTTGGATGGAAAGAAGGTGTGAATGCATTATATAAGTATTTCTTCAAGGGAGTACGCAGTTTACACGCTTGAAATGTATACAGTGTCGAACATAGGCTCTGTGTCCAAGGAGAGAGCAGTCGGTCCGACTCCATCATGACCAAATCTCTCCAAACTTGGACTCCCGAAACCAGACTATTTTATGCATCGAAATGGCTACACGTAGAGAAGGATTGCAAAATGAAAGCCAAGATGGGCCCTTTTTTTTTGGCCGCATGACAACTTGTGTGAGAGGCAGCGAATCTTTCCTTGTATGGACACTGATGGCCATTATCCCGTGCACACTCCTCAGTTTCCTTGTCGATCCTGGGTTTTGCTCCTGGAAGCACCTCCCATTTCCTAGCGGTAGTTCATTATGTCGCCCATGTCCTCACCACCGCCCTGGGCCTTGTTTCCAGCGCCAGTCGCTTTCACCACCGCCTCTACCAAATCCAAGCGACCTGCACAGGTTGGGTGGGGAAAAGTGGGTGACTCCAGCCAGTGATATATCAGCAGAAGTTCGAACCTAACTAACCACTGGTTTGTAACAGAAACATATATAATTTATATAATCATATATATATATTATATCATAGTCCTCCACATTGAGATAATTAAGTCCGTTTTCTGGGTGAAGGGTTGTAAAAAAAAGACTGGCCTTCCATCCGTCACCGTCCATTTCCAGATCTTGGTTTGTTGTTCCTAAGAGGAGGGCCCATTATCCACCCCATCTTCGGCCTGAGACCACTGTCATCTTCGGACCATTGACCGCGGCCACTGAGACCTGTCCCTCGGTGTCCACTGACTCCATGGCTTTCAGCACTTCCTGGACACCAGCGTGGCAGACTGGTGAGGGGAGAGAAGTTCAACAGTTGGTAGGGTTTCAGTGGAAGCGGGAGGACATGTTGGAAGGTCTTGCGGCCATGATCACATTGGGGAAGAAATGAAGAAAAGCATGGATTTCCTGATGTACCCATTCAGGCTCTAGTGACTCTAGTCATGAGCAAAGGGCCGTTTCTTTGCCATCGGTGTCAATAAGGGCGGGGATCGCGGCAGTGACTTGCCAATAGTCCACTAGCAGCACTAGTAGTTGTTCAGGGTCCCGTTGTTGGTTGTCCCCTTCCTTGGACCCTACCCTTCATGGACCAGAGTTCCAGGGATCAAATCTCGAGATATCTTGATGGGGAGCGGTATATCTGCAGATTACCCAATGTTCCCTCAAGGCTGTGTCAAACCAAACCAATCACCCAAAATGTTGAGTTCCTCGTACGCTGGCTTGTCATCAAACCAAGACCAAATGGTTTTGGAGCGCCCTCCACTTGGTGCCTTTCCTGATAATGTCGCCTGGGAACCACAATGATACAAGTATCAACTGCTGCCACTTCACTGTAGTCATTCCAAGCTGTAAGTCTCAACCTCAAAAAAAACAGATGAACCTGAATTGCAGTAACATACTCTGGTAAAATCACATCAATAGCTGTGCGAGTAACATGCCCTGGCCCCGCGTCCTCTTCGGGGGCGAAGCCTCAGCCCGATCATCGGTGTGTTGGTTCAATCTCGCTGGCTTGCCTTCTTTGTGTAGTACAGTATTCCATGTGCCTCTGTAGTGTCTGTTGAAACAAAAAATAAGCACGTCTGCAAACCTGCATAAACATCAACCTATGACCCCACTGCAATCCCCCCGGACCCCCCTTACCAGAAGGCCGCACCTGCCTCCGAGCCACAAGCCGTCATGCCGCCCGCCTTCGCAGGGCACTTCTCGGCGATGAGCCGTCCGCGGGCGGCCACCAATGCCACGGCCTCTTCCAAGGACAGCACACCGCAGCAGACGGCAGCAGCAAACTCGCCTCAGGGGGGAGGGGACCAGGTCTTTAAAAAAGTAGTGCCAAAAGAGAGAGTTGAAATCACCCTTAGAGGGCATGAGCACGTGTCTATCGAGTATATCTAGTTTGGGGCCACTAGGGCGATGGAGAGCGGATGGACTTCACACGGATGCTCATCAGGAGAACAGAGTTGGGTTTTGACCTAGCCCATATCCTTGAGTATGGAACCACTGAGAGAGAGAGAGAGGAAAAACCATGATTTGCTGGAAAACCAACTATTCGGAAGAGGAAAGTAGGCTGCAAACTTACCTCATTTCATACGAGGAGTTTTGCAAGCCAAGGTTTGCGACATTGCTAGTCTCTAAATTAGACACTTACATGGCCGTTTTAGTGGTGTGAAGGTGTCTGACCCACACCCATCTCCTTGCAGAGTTTGGTGTCCCACTCTTTGATGGACAAGAGATTTGAAGTAAGCAAAGAAAAATATCCCTTCTGCATTCCCCATCCATGCACAACTCCCAATCGAAAAAAGTAGAGGCTCCACAAAAATACACCTCATACACCCCTCTTCGGCCCAGTGACCAACGCTGTGGCCCAAAACGGCCACCGGCTCGATACCTTTCTCCTTCCACATCTCCTTGCGCTTTTGAGGAGAAAACATGCGTGCAAAAGGGGTTGGCACTTGGCAGTCAACCAAAGTTCCTTCGAAGTCTTAGAAGAAGCGAACTCTTCATCCAACCTGGATCTATCAGAAACCTGAAACCTCAAAATGGCGGTCTCCGCAGCAATTCTGCCCTGCCAAACTACAGCTTCTGAAGTGACTCGACCACTGCCACATGACCCGCCCCGAGCTATCTCCGACAGTGCATACTCGATAGAGAAAATGGCCGGCTGTGAATACCTCAGTGGCAGGAAAGGACTTGGTTCAACCTGGAGGAGGTCTGCAAGCACAGATGAACTCGAAAAGCTCCTACAACTTACTGCAAGCACTTTCCAGTGCAAGCTTGTTGTGTACGATTCGAAGGGAATCTGCGACCAATACAAAAATTCTAGACTCTGGATTTGACACTGTTTATGGACAAGGACCCCGTGCACCGTTCTGGGATTGCAAGACATCTTTTGCACCAACAGGGCGTGAAGGGGGGCTCATGTGGGTCTCTGAGACCTACAAACTCTGCTTTTCCAGCGTTTCCAGACACTTGGCACCAGTACAGCGTTCTTCCATGTGCCGCCACGCGGCTGTGTGAGATCCAAAAGCTCTTGGTGCTCTTCCTGTTCGGAGGGTCTGTCAGTTCGTTGTGATTGTTGCGCCAGTGGATCGACGAAAAGCCTCTCAAATACATCCAACTAAAACACCTGTTAATGAAATCCTAAGGTCTGTCCTGGTTGGTTTTCCAAAGTCATACTTGAACATTAAAAAGAAGTGTTGACTTGGGGCTTGGGAATGTTGCTTCGCGGCGCCATGAGGGTTCGGTCTCCGTGCCTGGCCTTGAAGAGAACATCCAAAAGAGGCTTCTCTAAGAGTGGATCCAAAAGCTCTGCACAGCAGTCAAGGGCACTCCGGAAGGACTCCTGGCCAGAAAGGCCAGGTCGAGACAAAATACAGTCCGATGTTGGATCAAATCATGACTGCCAGCCTGTTCAGCTGCGCTTCAACATGATCTGTTTTCAGGTGGCCCCTGTGATTTGCGGTGAAGGTTGTTGGTCACCGTGGAATAATCCTATATAGATCAATAGATTCGCTTTCGCACAGGAAATGGAGTCTCCGTCCTTGAGCCAATGAAAGAAGAAGTATATAAGTATAGTTTAGAATCAGTTGTCATCAAGTTGATCAGAAACAATCTCTAATGCATGTGCTTCCTTTAAGACTTTAAGGGAAATGTATCTCGATGTATTTGCTTTGAATCAAGGTGTGGGTTGAGACCTCAAGCTGAACTGTCACCAAACTCTCAGAAAACCAAAATGTTCATGATTCTGGTATTCATCTCAACTAGACCCATCCCTTCGATCGGGCCTTCGCCACACAAAGCCTTCTCCCAAAAAAAAGGAACGCGTGACTCAGCCCGAAGACCGCTGGCGCCTCGCTACCATAGAGCTGCTTTCCCATGCCCACACGCTGTGAGCCCTGCCCTGTGAAGAGGAAGGCCGCACGCTTCTTCGCCGCCTCCGTGCTGATGTAACGGGATGGACTGGAGAAAGAAGCATCACAAAAAGAAAGAATAATGATGAAACTGAAACTACCAGAAAAAGCTGCCGTGGATTGCCCTCTGCCACAGGTCACCACATATCACCAATAACTTCACAGCCTGTCGAGTTGGACAAGTCCCGGTGATGGAGAGGACTTGTGAAGAACGTGGCACATTGCTCATGATCAAATGAATCTCATAAAATGGGCATCATCAAAAGACATCTTCCCACCCAACTGCCTCTCGGTTTGCAGTCTCCTCCCAAAACCTGAGAGATTTACACCAAGAACACCAAGCATGCAAACCTTCCCTTCCTCTGGCCCACTTGAGGACCACTCCAGGAAGGTGCTGTTGGATCACCTAACACCCCACCTCCCCAACGTTCCCAGCAACAACATTGCTTGATGCTGTGTGAGCCTTCTTGATGGAGGCTGTGGCGACATCTCCAGTCTTGCATGTGACATGCGCGTTCGTGCCACCAAAGCCGAATGAAGAAAGGCCTGCCGTGAACAATCATGGTCAACCAGGCGTCGATTTGGAGTCATTAGTTGGATCTTGAAAGGGACGCCCCACAGAAGTGGATCCAGTGGGGCAGATGGTCCCAACATCACAGTCGGCGTGAGTCTACGGAAAAAGCCTTCATGTACATGTACTTATAGAAATGAAGATGTTACCGTCAATGACTGCCGCAGTACAAGCATCACTGGTTTGGTAGGCTCCATCTCCATTCTTCTGTCCAGTTTACCTAGTCTTCCGTCTTCAACCCTCCAAGCCCACCTGACGACAGCATGCTTCCCGACAACGGGGTGGTTGTCAAGGGGATCTCTGCTGCAAAGTCCTCCAAATCGATGGTGGGATTGAGCTTCGAGAAGTGCACGTTGGGCGGAACTTGTCCTTGGGATTCATGGAGGTGGCTCAGGGAATTTCGAAGCCCCAAGATCAGCTCATGTACAATCTTGATGATCGATCCATCCCAGAATCATGTCTGTCCACTTTTCGGGTCGATCAGTAAACCATCCCACAATAATTTCTGCCGATTTGAGCTATAAGTACATTTGTTAGATAAAATGCATAAACAAATAAACAAATAAAAACACATTCAATAAATGCATAACAAATAAACACATATACACATTAAATAAATATATATATATAATTATAAACCAGTATAAACATATATATATACTATAAAAATAGAACAAAAACACACAAAGAGGGTAGCCCAAGCATAGATGGGGCTCACATGGTTTGAATCTGTATTTGTCCGAAGTCGCCAGTGGCTTTGGAAAGTATCATTTGTGTCGATGGTCAGACTGAGCAATCATGGGACACATTGGAACTACCCGCGATGATGGCCTTTGGAGGCAAAGACAACTTTAGGTGCTTGGACCCAATCCTGTTGGGGCCGTTCCTAGTCGAAACTCCCATGATCATTCCTTGTCACCATTGGGAACATGAGACCTCCAGCAAACAGCTCCGCTCCCGCCAACTCACCTGTGTAGGTATTCCTTCCGTTTGTGGGCTTTTTGGAGTCTCCCCATGCATACCAACTCGTTCCACACCAACTCCGCGACAACGCGGGGAGAGTACGCATTCAGAACCGAGGCTCGGTGTTGTAGCGCCAACAAGGACTTTACCAAGCCAGCAACACCAGCTGCGCCCTCCAAGTGGCCAATGTTGGTCTTTACCTTGTGGCGAGGTGGGGGTGGTGGAGAGGGAAGGAGAGGGGGAGCTGCTGGTGGAAAGGAGGGGTATTTATTTTTGGATTTTGTTTGTTTTCTTTTTGGATTTTTTTTTTGTTTTTGCTGGTGGCTTTTGGCTTTTGGTGGCTTTTGGCTTTTGGCTTTTGTTTCTTTGTTGGCTTTTGGTGGCTTTTGGCTTTTGATTCTCTGTTGGCCTTTGGTGACTTCTCTTGGCTTTTGGCTTTTGGTGGCTTTTGGCTTTTGGCTTTTGTTTCTTTGTTCCGTCCCCGTGCCCCCCTCCCACTTTTTAATTTAGGCGGTTGCTTGCTTCATGTGTCAGCATGCCCTGGGTTTGCCGTTGTATAACTAAAACAAAAAAAGCGAAAAGGCAAAATGAAAAAGACAAAGGGAAAGGCAAAAGGAATTAAGGAAAAGGAAAACATTAAAAAACAAGTAGCTTCTTGTTCCTAGTAGTAAGGCCAGGAGCCCCTAGTAGCCTCCTTGCTCCTAGTAGCGATGCCAGAAGACCCTAGCAGCTTCTTGTTCCTAGTAAAGAAAAAGGAAAAAGGCAAACCAAAACAAAAAAAAGGGGAAAGAAAAAAGGGAACAGGACAAAAAGCAAAAGAGAAAAGGAAAACGTAAAAAGGACAAAAGGAAAGGAAAAAGAAAAAGGAAAGGGGAAAGGGAAAAGGAAATGAAAAGAGCAAAAGAAAAAAGGAAAAGAGAAAAAAATAAATAAAGTCAAAACAAAAAGGAAAGGGAAAAAGGAAAAGGAAAAGGAAAGGAAAAAAGAAAAGAACACAGGAAAAGGAAAAAGGGAAAAGGCAAAAGGCAAAAGGAACAGGAAAAACAAAAAGGAAAAGAAAACAGGCAAAGGACAAGGGAAAAGGAAAAAGGAAAAGGAAGAGGAAAAAGGAAAAAGGAAAAGGAAAAGGGGAAAAGGAAAAGGGAAAAGAAAACGGGAAAAGGAAAAACAAACTAATCAATGGAAAACAACCGAAAAACAAAAAACAATAAAAAATTCAGAAATAAATTCGCAACCTGGTGGAAATGATGATGGACCGAAGACCCATAGGCGCATGGATAACTGGCTCTGCACGAGACGTTGCCAGGTGACGGTCGCCAGCATCACGGGCGTGAGACGGCCTCCCCAGCACAACGGGGATCGGGATCCGATGGTCAAGCTTCGTTGAGTTGTCGTGGCCCTACCATTCAATGATTCAGAGCGGGCCTAAAGGGGCCAGGCTGATGGGTTTGTACATGAAGGGCCCAGTTTGTTTCTTGTAAACATGGGATTCTGAGGGAGTTGGCATGAAGAAATTGTGAGTGAAACATATCAGGTCCATTTGCTGTCCAAAAGGTTCTGCCATTTGAGCACCTCCTGTCTTTCCCAACAGGTAGTGAAGAAGACTATAGTAGAAGATGAACAACAGGTCTGATCCATGGTCAAGATTCTCTCAAAAGGAGAGACTCCCAGTGCCACACCGTGGCTGATACCACAAAGTAACCATCCCCAAATCAACTTCTTGACCCACACCACCAAGAGGCAAACATCATCAAACGGTTTCCAACAAGCCCCTCACCCCACGACACCCCCTCTGTGTCTTCACCCTGTCCAATCGCCACACCTGGCCTTCAGCCAGGGTGGCCTTCAAAGCTCCAGTCTCAATGGGATCTCCTAAAGCGGTGCCCGTCCCGTGGCACTCCACCAGCTGCAGCTGCTGTCCGCCCACTTGTGCCAAGGACAATGCCTCACAGATATGGCGAACAGGAGAGTCCTCGATAACACTGCAACAGGAGGGTTTTGGATCAAATCAGTGGGTTCCTGTGCAGCTTTTGTTACCCGGAAGCACCGATCTTGGAGGGTAGAGATATGAAGGATAGAAGAGTCATAACGTGCTCATCTGTCTCACTCATGAGTTTACAGCTTTTACCCTCGGCCATGTTGGTGTTTGGATCGTCCTTGGTAGATCGAAGCAGAGAAGGAGCAACTGCGACGGCATTTCACTGGGTCTCCTCTTCGTAAGCACAGAGCTTGCCGTTAGTCCCTGCCACCTTGAGAGGTGGTGACTCCTCTCACAGACCACCTGGGTGGTAATGATGTGTCAGGAATGTCACAAATCGCAACGGCTATATGGTGATGGCAAACCCAATGAAGAATAAAAATATATTTCTGCGATTCTTTGGAGACCTATCATCCCGGAAACCACAAGCATCAGCACACCATGGAGCTCCTGCCTTCCGGATCACCTCCTGCTGTGCCGGGCCATTGGGCGCCGTCAGGGTAGAACTACGGCCGTCCTGGAGCGCAGGGAGCCGTTTGTCATTTTGTGGGAAGGGGTGAGGTCCTGGATCTGCATTGGATCCACTAGTAGCGTCCTTGCTCCTAGTAGCAAGGCCAGGAGCCCTAGTAGCGTCCTTGCTCCTAGTAGCGAGGCCAGGAGCCCCTAGTAGCGTCCTTGTTCCTAGTAGTACGGCCAGGAGCCCCTAGTAGCGTCCTTGCTCCTATAATACTCAGATCATTCCAACTAACCTTGCTACTGTGTGGACCGTGCAACGCAAAAGGTTCGACGGTGGTAGTCTTGCGATTAGCTCGACTCGTCCTACCAACCTTCGACCATCAACACCACCTCCATAGGGAGCAAGAAAGTGTACCCTCGTGTGGCCTCTGAATACTTGGCGTTCTACCTCCAGAACATGAACATCACATGATCATAAGCATCATAAACCTCAAACACATCTTGCCTTGCCCACGACTTTTGCTTCCTCTCCGAATCAGTACACCAAAATCCGGGACAAAACCGAAAATTCTCGAACAACACCGGGTCACGGCCGTCCTGATTGGAGGCCGTTGCCGCGACAAGAGGCAACGGTCCATCAGTGCCCAACTCGAGCAAGGCGGAGCCGGAACCCTCACCTCAGGGCTCCGCGTTCGCAGGCGTGCCAACACAGGCGGGTGCATCAAACGTGGGGGCGTATCAAGGGGGCTCGCAAAGAAGTTGATGGTTTGAGGAATCAAGTGAGGGAATCATGAGTTGATCAGAAGGCAGATGAGTTCAACGGTTCAACAGCTTTTAATGGTCGTAGGGCACAAACAAGTTGCACCAATCGGAGACCATATCCCGCATTTAGTCCACATTGACATTGATAGCCAACTAAATCCCCCTCCATGGTAGCACCACCTGTGCGTGACTCATTCAATGAGCAAGCTTTCCTCAGCAAATACCATCAGCTGTGAGACGTGTGGAGTGTTGACAAACCAGTTCTCCTGAACTGCCTAGGTCTCTCACACACAGCTAGAACGCCATCTCAGGCTTCCAGCCACAAGCAGGCCTCTACATCCTCTATCCAGAAATCTCGGCTCCTTGTTACGGAGGGATCCATTCCTTGTGATCCCACCCCTACCAAAAGCCATCGAATGTCATTGCAGCGCGCGCCTCTCACGTAGCCGTTGGCCGAGGCATCGAAGGTCTTGCAGCGGCCATCGGGCGCCAGCATTCGCGCCTGGAGTCGAGGCATGGAGCTTCCGCCGTTTGGAGTTGGAGCAAGGACGCTGCACGCTACGAGGGGCTCCTGGCCTTACTACTAGGAGCAATGAAGCTACAAGGAGCAAAGGGCATCGCTACTCGGAGCAAGGACGCTAATAGAAACAGCTATTTGAACCGGACCCACCTTGGTGGAAGTCAAGAAGTACTCACTTCAGGCACCACCACCCTGTGGTGCTTGAACTACTTCCAGAAAGTCGATCCGTCAGGAATATGAGAGCTATCACGTGCTCTCAAATGAGTCAAATGAGCAAATGAACATCTGACTTTCCGGGTCATAATGCAACTGAAGAGGTCTCTCAAGCTCGCTTTGCTCCCTGTGGCCGTGTGACGTGGAGGTTTCCAGTTTGTTGGGAGTTCCTTGGATTTCTTCTAACAGTCCGGGCTGGCTCGCAGAATGCCTCCCACCCACGTTTAAGTGCCAAAAACCAGCCACAGGGACCTACACCAACCGCAGTTGACGTGTCCATCCTTTCCACGTCTCCCTATGTCTCCCCCATCTCCAAGAACGCCTTTGAGAAGGCGACGAATGGCTCTGCGATCAAGTTCAGCTGGACACCCGTCAGCAGCGCTGCCTGCGTTGCCAGCGGCCTTGCTTCCTTACCCTGGGGCTCCAACCTCCTCCTGAAAGGGAATTTGGGGAGGTTTGGAGGCCTGCTTGTCAAGGCAACAAAGGTCACGCGCGATGTCGACAAAGGGGGTGTCAAGACCCAAAATGGGGCTATACACCAACAAATATGACATCATCATGACCCGTTCATTGCAGCAATCACTTGTTGAAAAGGATCAGTCAACATACTGTAAATGAAAATAATTTGAGATGGGATGAGATGCGCGGATGAAGCCCATTCCAAACAGTCATGTTAGCTCTGTGCTTTTCCTGGGTGGAGTCAGAGGAAAACAGCTTCACCAAATTAATAAAAAGAGACATCTCCCGATGGCTCTTGCCGATAGCCTTCTAGCCTTTATTTGTTTATGTTGCATTCTTTAGTAGAATGATGTAAAATAGGAAGTTCATGGTTCTGCACTGCCAACTGCACCCTCCTGCCTCCATGCCCAGGCCAAGTTCCTAGCAAAGTCTCTTGCGCCCCCCCCGTGCACAAGTTGGGCGGTAGGCGTAGACTGACACCACTGCATCCAACATCATCCAGCGAAACGAAAAAGAACCTCTCCAGTGCGACTCCAACTCCGTAACACTCAAAGGAAGCAGGGTCCTTACAGGCGATGTGCAGCGCCACCAACGAGGAGGAGCAGGCCGTGTCCACTGAGGCACTCGCTCCCCGAAGGCCCAAGGAATAGGAGATTCGGTTCGAGGAGATAGATGCGTGCCTGCGTGCAGTTGACGGATCGCCCTCCAATCCCTTGTTGGTCCAAGCACTGAATCCTTCAAATGACTGAAACATCCATGATCACCTCAGAGGAACTTGTGGATCCCTAGCCTTTGAGCCGTTGTTCCTTACATCCCTTCCGACGAGAACCATGTGTTCCACTGCAGCCGAGCAGCGTGCCAGGCCCAGTGTAGGGGTTGGCTGAGCGCTCCCTTGAGAACCTGAAGGATTCTTCGTGGCAACTGAAGGAGCAACAAAAATGATGAATCTGTTCGTTGGCATCCAAACTCTTCCTCTTTGAAGATTCTTGGTATGTACTGTGGTTGGATGGGGTTCCCCCCTGATCTAGGCCCTAGATTCCCATTCCCTAACATCGAAGACTTTGGAGACTTGGATCTTGCTACGGAAGGACCTGATGAGCAAGCTTGACTGTATATACACAAATACTCAGTGCCTCCGAAGATATCTGAAAAATTATACCCAATCTCTATGACATTCTTACCTACAGGACCCTCCAAGATCGGTGACTTGTGGGCCTGAATCAAATAGGTGAACGTCTTCCCCCCCCCTTGTCAAGAAAAACTGCCAATCTTGGAGAGTCCAGCCAACGATCCCTTCACATCTCGCGGAGCCAGAGAGTTGCCATTGGACCAGGCAGCTTGGCCCAGTCATTGTTGCACTGTCCCACAAAGACTCCAGTGTCAGAGCCCAAAAGCACCTGAAACCGGCTCGCGACTCCAACTCGCTGGTCCGATTCAGAGCTTTTCAGATACCAGTAGGTACTCTGAAAGGCCACCGGTGGCTCATGAGGTGAAAACATCCAAATCCATGTCTATAGGTTTCATTGTGTACATATATATATATATCACTATATCACCCAAAAACGAAGTGATGTCCCATGCATCTTCGATTTGTGGGCGGCTGGGACACAGGTAAGGACGAAAGCTTCTAGCCTGGTACCATGTCATCATCTTGTCCCAACACATTCAGATTTATGCCGTTCACTGATGCCGCTCAAAAAATCTACAAACATATCCCTGAATGTACCAGCTAACTTACGCAATCTCGGACAGCATGACCCTACATCGGTCGCTCGCTGCCTCGCCTGCTTGGCACGACCCGCGTGGTGACATGCCGCATAGGAGACTTCCAACGCCAAGCGCTGCTGGGGATCCTGACTAGTAGCGATGCCCTTTGCTCCTAGTAGCAAGAATGCTCCTAGTAGTAAGGCCAGGAGCCCCTAGTAGCGTCCTTGCTACTAGTAGCTGGGACTGCGAACCGGTGGAGCCATCTCAGTGCGTAGCGCCAAAAGCACCGAGGACAGACGTCAGGGAAAGGTCCGAGGTCATGGACTTTGGGGGGTGAAAATAGAAAGCATCTCATACGGTCGTTTAACCGTTACGACATGTTACGACCAGATGATCTCATGGCTTGTGCGGGAATAGGTTTGGAGGCAACTAGAGGCTTAGCCTTGCTACTAGTAGCTTCTTGTTACTGGTAGTAATGGCCTCCAACCTAATACCCAGTAGCTTCTTGCTACTAGTGTTGATGTGTTTGCGGGACCTTTGGACCTACTTCTTGCAGCTGAAGTCGTTTTGGAGCGAAGGAGCTTGTAGAATGTGGGTTCCTGCGACTTCACCAAATGTGGTCAGCCTTCTGACTTCTTCAGTTAGGGTCAAATTTCCCAGAAATGGACGTGGATCATGGCACCTAAATCGCAGCTTTCTGGAGATGTCAATCGAATCAGTGCTTGTGGGGTACTCCTTCGCAAGTACTTATATCTGCAAAATCCAATTTGGGAACCTTGCCTAGTCAGCGGGTATGGTAGACGTACTGTACTTTCGTTTTTGACCCGTGTGCCCAAAATCACTCTGAACCTCCCCGGCCAAGTCACGATGGTCTTGGCCTCAGCGGCTGACATCCCAAAGAAGCCTGGGCTGAAATGGGCTTCGAAAGTATCTCCGAGTGGACGACTCTAGGTATCCACAGGATCCCACGCTGAACTCATGGAAAACGCACCAATCGAGGTCTCCATAGACTGGGATAGTCAGCCAGACAAACATGAATCCCATGTTCTACTGTACTCTTTTGAGATTTCTCTTTCTCTTGGGTCTTGGACATCTCTGGTCCCTCCACCGCCAGGCGGCCGCTGTCGAACATCTCGGCGCCCTCAACGAAGCCACCATGCTTGGCGTACATCACATTACCCAGTGCCTCCACCAAAAGAAGAGCACATGGATGAGTAGCTGGCTGCTGGAATGGCACGAGATGCCACACAGGCATACAGCGAAAGAAGTGTAATTAAAGCACAAACAATTGGTGTGTATGTATAGGTATGCTTCAGGCGGACAAAAGTTTATGCTTGTTTACCATGCTCATAAAACGCTGTACGGTCAACTGCGATCGAATTACCAAGTCCAATTTTCGTGGCAGGTGTGGGACGGTCAATTGTCACATCGTTTTGAATTTATAGTAATAAAAGCCTTCCCAGTATGAAAAGTGACCGTGCACCCGTTCCGAGGTCTCCCAGTGTAGGATTCTAGGGGGGTAAGGGTTGTAATGAGTTTGAGCTTTAAAAAGCGCAACTTTTGTCTGGCCAGTGTATATTATATAATCTATATATATATACCAAAACTTCAGGTTTATCCAGTTTCTGCTACTGAGCTACTGAAGGCCATTCTGATGGAGTTCCTTGCTCCTTTCATACAGCAGCACCGGATCCGAGCATTCCCGGCTTGGAGGATGGTGTCGGAAAGCATTGACGGTACTTCCTGGAGCCCCAAATACTACATTCAGTGCTTGCTTCCCTGAAGTTGAGATTCTTGACATTAAAACTGACTGGAATGCACCAGGGATGGCAAGCACAGAGATTCCTAAAGAAGTAAGATTCGAGATGAAATATGTATCTACAGCAGGCAGTGAAGCATTAAAGGCAAAATATTTCTTTGAGGAGCTGGTGCAACTGGTGATTGGCTTGAAGTTCGTCATATGATTCCGAAAATGTACAGAAATGGGTGTTGCTCAAGCTCTTCCAGGCATACCAGGTGTGCCGTGCCGGAATGTTGCAAAATGAGGGAGCTGAGTAGTGGCTCCAAGCCAGAAGTGAAGTGCATACTCCACGACATTCCACATTTGAAACAACGAAACCAACCCGTTATCATTTCGTCTACATAGTAGCTGTGAAATCCTAGGCTTCTTTTTTTCAGACACAGTTGCCCTTTAATCTGTGCAAATTGAAAAGTGAAACAAGCTGGACATGTCCAGGCGGCTTCCATGTCCGGATCGAAGAACTCTTGCAAGTCGAAACGCAGGTAGGGGATTTCCTGAAGGCTGACTGCTACCCGTGCAGAAATTTCCGGAATGACCTGACCCTATGGGTCCCACGTATATATATATATATATATACAGTGTCAGTCAATCATTTCCTACCAAGCAAATTCGCTTCGATTAGCACAGGGCCCTGATACAAAGGGCACGAAAGCCCTTGCACGTACAGCTGAGTACACCCACAAGAGTCAGGTGTTGTTGAACATATACTCTCCCAAAAAAGAACATGTAAGCATGGAATCTCCTGTTTCCAGCGGAAAGCAATCTTGCAAGGGGCCATGTTCCCTCCCCTGCATTCTTTATTCTCTTTCTCTCTTGTCCGTGGCAGGAGGTCATCAAGGAGGCTTGAGGTGACAAAGTCATGGATGCAAATTGGTAGGGTCACAAAGTCAAGCTTCCCTAAAAATCTAGGAACCAAATCATTAGTGCGAGCGCTTCTTCAAGGAAGCTCTCCCTGCCCTCAGGCGGAGGGAGCTTCCTTGAAGAAGCGTGAGCTATCCTCCATCCATTGTAGTAGCGTCTAAGTAGAAGCTAGTAGCGAACTTCTCCCTTACCTAATTAAGTAGGCACCTACTTCATTAAGTAGGAGCGGGCTTAAGACCGATCAGGCAAGTCCTTGGGATCGCATAGACTGATCATGCAAACTTCTTAGTAACAAAGCAAGTAGCGTCCTTGTTACTACTAGTAAGGCACCTGTTCCTAGTAGCGTGGCACTTGTTACTACTAGTAAGGCACTTGTTACTAGAAGCGATGCACTTGTTCCTACTAGCTTCTTATTACTACTTAGTGAACCTGCAAGCATGCTTAACCCCATGATGTGTGGCCCCTGGGAAGCCTCTTAGCAAGAGCCACGTCAGTATGTCACATACTGTATGTGTTCAAAACCTGCCTGTGGGGCCATACCTTCCCTCCTAGAGTTTGGCAATATCTGGTGCAAATCAAGTGGTCCAGGTGCCCCTCGGGGTATCATGGACTGAATTACAGCAGCCACATCTTTTCAGCTGGAACGGGCTATGCAGGAACGGACACTTACCGTATTACTCCAAACAAGTCCAGATACTTCCGTCGCGTAAGCCTTCAATGCGCCAAACGATCGAAACATATGATGCCAATACCAAGAACCCCACCAAGAACGGCGTAGTCGTTTTTTGTCTAAGTGGGATCTGCCAATACCATCATCATTTCGGCCTTTCACAACGTCCGCTGCTCCTCTGCGCGCATCAAACAATGCAGGCATATGTTGAATTCTTGCCAGACCAGTGCGAGGTCTGCAACAGGTCCGGTCCCTGCAGTACGCTCTCAAAAAAAAGACAACCCGCGCCCCAATGAGGGTGCATGTTGCATTTCGTTTCGTCCGTCTTTTCTGGCCCTTTCGCTGGTCCTTCCGCTTTGGTTGGAGATGTGGTTTATCCTACCATGTTTCTTTGTACATGCCGTGCGACCAACCCTTTGGAAACTTGCACTATGAGGCTGTGAGGGGCGTTGGACCCGATTATGTGTTTGCTTGCAAGGTTTGCAAGCCACCTATCCCGCTGATCAGCCAAGGTTCCGTGATAGCATCCTGCCGTTGAAGCCAGTTCGACCAGATCTCCAAGCCTCCGAGGGAGGACAGGGTCAATTCAGGCAATCAACAGGAATGATGGCCATGATCGGCCAGCCCAACTTCTCCAGTTTGAGTTATTTTTCCCCAGAATCCACATAGTTATCAGAGAGAGACAGAGAGAGAGATTGATATATATATATATATAATAGAGAGAGAGATATGATATATATATATATAATAGAGAGAGAGATATGATATATATATATAATATATATATATATTGTATATAGTTTTATATATACTATACCCAAACTAATCAAAATTATATCTAGGATTTCTTTGACAAAGCGCATGCTTTTGGGGATGCCCATGTTGGTCTGCAGGGGTCGCTCCCAGTGAATCAGCCACACCTTCGCCTCCTGGAAAGCGGCAGGTCATGCCCCTGCACGCCACCACAGCACTACCTGGCAGATTGGCCAAAGCGACTATGGATGGACAAGAGGTTGTAAAGCTTCAACACCGGGCATTTTGGAAGGGCAAGCGATGCAAAGGTCACCAACTTCAGAGTGCCCGATTCAAAGGCAATGACTTTCTGACTCAAGGACCCCCCAGAAGGAAAAGAATTGTCTAAAAAGGGGTTGGGGAACACGATTTGCGGACCGCTGTCAATGGCTAGCGCAGTGGGTGCTGTGGGAGATGAATTGGATCACCTCCATGTGAGTAAAGGAAGCGTGAAAACAAGCTGTGAATTTGCCATCCTGTGTGTGTGCGCGCAGGGTTAACGCAATGAATTACAGTGAGCGTGGTGCGAAACACATTGGTTGGCGGGTCTCATTGTTCTTTACACACCCAGGCCCATATTTGTATCATCTATCGTGGGCCATCGTGGGCTCGAGTTCCATTTTTGCTTGGACCGGCCATGCACGAAGAGCAATACCATCGGCCCTGAGCCCCACCTGATGATGCAGCAGCCCTGGCCACTCGGGTGAGAGGCTGAGGCGCCGTCGTCTGCAGCTGAGACTGCACCTGTAGCGCGCGTCGTTGTCGATAAAATATATGGAACTAGGTTGAACTGACTATATGTAGTATTATAATGTATTCCATATTATATAATCAATGGAGCACCCAGTCGGAAAGTGCCTTCCCTAAATCAACAATCCCAAAACGTCTTGTCGGATGTCTTTTCTCCAGAACTGGCAAAAAGTGGCCCCCGCAGTCTGCGTTGAACGGGTTTCGACGCTCAAGCAGGGTGGTGCTTGAGACGTAGTCTATCAGTCTATCTATATTCATAGGTAACAATAGGTGTTATATGGTGTCGCTGTGCCCCTAGTACCATCTCACCCGGCTGAAGCAATTAGTGCCTGCCCATGGGCGGCAATGAGACAACCCTGAAGAATCTCCTGGTGTAAGTCTTGCAAGTTTGGCAGTAACATCTGCTGGCTCAACCTTCCGCTGTTCGCTTGTGCCACTTGCCATTCTCTCCGTTTCACACACCAAGGAGCTAGATCGGTGATGGCGCGCAAGGTGGGGTGGTCGAACATCAAGGTGTTCCTGGGCGCCAAATGTGCCCCGGAAGCATCCGGAAGCCATGTGAGCAGGACCTTCAAGCCACCGGCTCAGGAACTTGCCGCAACAGAGGTATACGGTATACAAGCTCTTGTCAAGGCAGTGAACATCAACTGAGTGTTCATGTTTTGCACGCCCAAAACAAGTCAACCTCTCCAAACCTTGAGCCCGAAGGAATCCTACCATTCCACCGTTGAGCACTGCGAGTGTAGCATGTCTGCTTTGCAACCCACAATCGTCCCAATCACACCATCAATTTATTTGCTACATGCCAAGGACAAAAGATCCAGTGGGACCAGTGAGGCCATTACGGGCGACACTCGCAGAAAATCCGCGAATAAAACGCTACCGGGACTGTAGCTCCAACTAATTGCCCACCAAGGTGCGGGAACTTGATGCCAGCGCCTGCCTCGGCACTGAGGCGATTCCGGAACTCCACCGAGCTCAAGGAGTCCTCGCGCATGCGGAAAGGCGCGCAAAAGGCTGATCGGCGTAAGAGTCGCGCGGAGTCGCACGGGCGGCGGGGGTCCATGCCGGCAGCCATCAAGGGCTCGTCCACATCCACTGCTGAGCCCACCACGTCCGAAGCCACTGAGCCTCGGACCAACCGGCGATGTGGAATAGCAGAAGTGCCGTGTTGTCTGTTCTGTTGGTTTGTAGGGGTTGATTTGAAGATACTAGTGGCTTGAAGAGGGGTGGAAAGCTGGTCATGGCCACCTCGTGCAAAAGCTAACATGTTTCGTATTCATGAAGCCTGCGCAAAGGGGATTATGAATGACTATGATTCATGATGATTCTACTGATTCGCAGGACAGCGGTCAGAAACTATTCGCAACGGTCACATGGTCAAATGGAGGATGTGAAGGATGTAAATCGAAAAAAAAAGAACCCACAGCGTGGGATTTCTATTTCAAGGAGCTTTGATCACTTCAACTGGATCTTCAAGATGCCCAATCTAGTTGCCATGAGAATCTAGTCCTAAAGAGTCGGTCCAGCTCCCCGACTTGCATGTGGCGTGTCTTGATCCATCTTTCTCGCACAGGAGCGGAAGGCAACCGGCAGCAAGACTTTTTTCCGAGCTCGAAAAAGGCAGTATGTGGCTACAGGTCGAACTGCACGACAAACATGGAGTACTTGAACCGAGCATCTCTTTGTGAGGATTCTTCTGCAGTTAATGACATCTGCGTGTGGATGACTATGAAAGTCGTGATCTTGGTCCTCAAAATGTGGAGATCGACCCACACCCAACGGAAGCGAAACGCTTTCCCAGAGCTGCTTGCGCAGAACTCTGCGCAGCCTTGCAGCTGGCGCAGAGAGCTTCTCCGGATTTTGAAGAGAAGCGATTCGCTCCCCACGGATTAAATTGAAAAAGCTAGGCTCCCCTGTGTTTGAAGGCGAAGACGATCACTTGGCATTAGGGTGAAATTTGAGCACTGCAAAGAAAGGTCCCACTGGAGTGGCCCAGAAAACTGGAACATGGCCGAAAAAGATGCAGGCACACATCCAAGTTGTACTACCTAATGAGTAGGGACTTCACGGGCATTCTGCATGGCTCTCAATCTCTCAGAGCATTAGATCTAAACGTTTGGAGAGTCCCCACTCACACTGCAGTAGCACAGCGGCCTTCGGAAAGCTTTCCGATCTGTACTGGTTTGTCCCAACTTTCAATCCCAAGTTGATGTCCAGTGGGGGTCTATCGAATCATCGAATCCTCACCCTACAGTTCTTTTCTGACTGACCGTCTCGCAAAAAAAAATAGATTTTGACGAGACTAGTTGTGTCAATGTATGCTATGAAGGTAAGTAATGAATGAATCCCCAACCGCTTCTGGACTTAAAGCCTCAGCTAACACCTACCAGCTCTTGCTCTTGAGCCTCCATTTCGTATCTCTCAATGGCCCGTTGCATGAACTCGTCGCCGTTCAGTTTGGGCCCACTGCCGCCCCATTCCTCAAGCGAAGCGAGTGAGGTGTTGCACTCCCCATGGAAGACTATCTTCCTGCCATGTGGGGGGCAATGTGTGTTTGGGGAGGAGCAGTTGTCAGGGTTGTCATATCTCCTGTGGTGTTTTGAGGGCGTCCTTTCTGATCAACCTTTCAGCGGCAGTCTTCAAGACACCTCTTCATGGACTCCATCACATCATCGAGCTGTCGCCATCCTGCACATCCTGTGGGTCAATCCAGAAACCTGTGAGTGGTTCGCCTACTGTATGCCTTCGGACTGGCCCCACATGGCTAGAGCACTAGTCTGCAACCCCCCTTACAACGCCGAGTTCATCCGCACCGAACGAAATCATCTGCATCAAGATGATTCTATTGATCTGTCCAAATCTGCAAAGGCATCCCTAGGTCTCTTTCCCCTTCGACCAGACACTGGACTCGGTTGCCCCATTGTTCAGACAGACCTATGATTTTTTGACCAACAGGTCCCCAGAGGCTCCATGTCCATGTTCAAGTTGGGTCCTAGAGTTTACTTGGAAAACAGTCTCAAACTCACCCCTTAAGCTGGACGTTTTTTTTCTTAACGCTCGCTCTCCCCCCCTCTCTCCCTACTTAATTAAGTCGGCGCTTACTTAATTAAGGGAGAGGTAGGTAGTATCTTACTTAAGCTACTTGTACTGATGCAGGATAGATCACGTTTCTATTCATTTGGTTCCTGGATTTTTAGGCAAACTAGCTCGACTGTGTGCTTTTGTCAAACTCACCCCATCGTATGACGTCGTTCTCCTATATACTTCGAAGATCTTCGAAGCACATGATGTTGGGAACTGGTATTCAATCCAGAGCAGAGGCGATTTTTCTTAGCTCGCCACCCCCTCAGCCAGTTCCCCCTCAGGATCTCCATCTTGAACCACTCCCCAGATTCATCTGAAGCCACCCCTCAAGAACCATCAACCACGAGCTGCCAAACCGCTGGTTCTTCAGCTTTGCACCTCATCAACTAGCACATTTGGGTGGTTATGGGAGGAGTATTGGTGTTATCATGTTATCTGTTTTAGGTATGTTTAGGTATTGACCGCTAGATACGACTAGATCCTTCGAGCGACTTCTTGGTGTTTCGCCCTTTTCCTCCAAGGCCCCCCCTGCGTCCCATCACCCAAGTTCCTACCCTCACCGTCTCACCGTCCGGGTCTCTTCGAAGAGTTGATCGGATTCGTAGTACTCCAAAAGCTTCGACACGGGCTCCTCCCGCCATCCGGCAGGGCCCAGGAACTTGAAGTCGATGGAGCCACGATCCGCGATCCAACGAGAGAAGATTTTGAAGGCGCCCCAGAAGACCATATCACTATTCCTCAAGCCCAGGCACAAGAAGGGGGTGCAACACAGTGCAACTGATTCTTTGGCTGAGTTCTTTTCCGTGGGTGAAAGAGATTGAGAAACCCAAGGAGGCCATGAAACCGTTCCTCAGTCCCACAGCCCTGATGACAAGTCGCTGGTCAGGAGTGATCCTGAAACCCAAAGGAACCCATGATGCTCATCCTAACTCTGTTTGCGGCAAGATTTGGAGTTCCATGACACACAAGCCAGGCCCGCAGTACAAGGTTCTTTGGGACTGCCAATACTGATTGTACGAACCCAAGCACTATGACCCATGGCCCATGGACATGACCAGAGTGAAAGGTTGGTGGTCTTTGAGACCAACATGAAAACAAAGATGAAAAATGTGTGCGGACCAGACATGGAAATCAGTGAGAAGGCAAAGGTTTCCAACGGGTTTTGTGCAATTCCAAGACGGCCCTTTGGTCAGGGTAGGATGACCATGACCATGGCACAAGTGATACCAACTTGCCAATTGATCTTTGTGGCCTTTCGTCTCTTGACCGCCCACCATCAATTTTCCGCCATCATCGACAGGCTTCAGGTAGAAGACCCGTCCGACGATCCCCGGGTAGTGCCGGTTGAGGATGGTAATTGCTGCCTGCCACGGTTTTAGCACGAGTCTGACGAGCGCGTTGTCATCTCATGCAAACCACTTCTTTCCAACATGCATAATACTGGCTGGAAGCAAAAAACACACAAGTTCACCCAGGCTTTTGCCCCCTACAAGTAGCTTTGGCAGTCTCTGCTGTTCCTGCTGCAGATCTCAAGAACATAATGTGAGGCCCTAGAGCCCCTGCCTTCAGGACAGCAAAGCCATTGTCCAGGCTCCCAAGCTCTTCCAGGATCTCCTTCGATGGCGCATCCTTGCTCCCCGCCCCGGCCGCATAGTAGGGGTTCCGAGCCTGGGTCAGGGCAGCTCGCTATGGAGCACTGGAGCAACTGCTGGTCCCTTCAGTTGCCACCTTTTCCACCTCGAAACTTTCCCACACCCAAACCCCCACACCTCACCCACCTGATCGCACCACACACCTTACCCAAACCACCATTCCCATTCGCACCTCGTTGTAGGTCCGCTCATGCCCTGCGGTGCCGCTCACGTTGCCCACCTGCTTGACCGCACCGATATCTAAGATGTAGGACCCTGCGCCCTTTCCCAACGACGCCACCTTCGTGGCCATCAGCTCCTCAGGATGAGTCGGTCGCCACTCAGCCAAGCATGGCATTGCACTCGGTGAATCAACCAAAATCTAGAGAAATATGATGGAGATCCTAGTGGACTAAATCCTGCACAACTTGCAGTATGTTCAGTGGATTCTGGATCTTTTGCAAGGTTACTTAATTGGTGAAAAATGTACCCATCAAATCCCATCAACAGTATCAATTCGTGGCCAGCGGCACGTAGTGCCAGCGCCAAAGTAACAAACAAACTCGGCGAGAGCCACACTATGACCCTTGACCTCTGGTGCGGCGGGTACTGTTGATTTTGTGTGCCCTAGGTTTATGCTTAAAGGGTGGAAAAGCCGGGTTTCATTCCGAGATTCGAGCTTTCACACCATTGAAAAAGCTTCTGAAAGCTTAAGCTCGAGCTCGAGGGTTACATGTTACATGTTTGTAATTTGGAAAGATAAGCAGGACCACTTGCGCTTCCTGTCTTTGAGGGTCTGGACATCTTGGACGTTCCATCCATCTGAGTCCAAGGATGTCCAAAGCATCCAGGGCTCAAACACCAGCGCACCAGCTCTCAGATGGTGCCAGGGATGCATATTCTCCGGGTTCGCAAACTTCAGTCGCCCAGCGCAGTAGGGACGGCCCTCCTTGTCCAACAAGAGGGAGTCCGAAAAGTACATCTCAGCTCCAGGATTGCTTTCCTGACACGGAAAGGTTGCAGAAGATTGCAGCCCAGGAGGACTCGGAAGGTGGTCGGACCACAGCGAGAAAATATCAAACGGAGTTGCAGAAAGAAGTAATTGGGAGGGCTCAAAATAGAGACCTGAAGATTCTTGACTGAATTGCAAGAGAGGTATCCTGAGCACGGAACCTGAAAACTATGTACAGTATTTGTTAAACCCCCAAAACCGGATGTTCCTTTACAAAAAATGGGATTGAAGTTCAGCCTCTCTTGAATGTACCAGTGTCCTTGAAAGGGAGTAAGGAAGGAACCTCCCTGGTCAGTATTTCGAGGCGAAGTAGTTCCAGAACCTCGGTCTACGAGTCCACGATCTCCTCGTGAATCACAAACTCCTCTTTGAGGGATATGCAAAAATGACGGCCACATCAA